TTTTTTTTTAAAGGTAAGCTATATTCTTCTCTCATCTATCTCATTTTTCTTGATAGTACACATCTATCTCATCCTCTCACTATTCTATATATAGTATGGGGTAACACCAACCAACCCGGATCCCTCCCCAGCCCACAGGGTAGGTTGGCACCACAGCTGTGGTGCGAGGGCAAGGCTGTACCAGTCCCTCATCACGGTGACGAAGGGTGGGCAGGCATTGCTGATGGGGGAAATCGGGGGTGCTAGTGCCGAGCAATGATGGAAAGCCTGCGTTGACTTTGGGCGTAGCCACTTTACGATGCACGTGCGGCTTTCGACAAAGAGTGGCAAGCTGCATCCGTTACTAGGCATCTTGTCAGCTTTCTGGGGAAGATACACTCGTACTTTTTTTTTTTTTTTTTTTTTTGAAAGGCTAATCTGGACAGGACTTTTCTCTCTTCGCGGGTGGTTTGGCGAGGCCCTCTATTGCTCGTAGGAAAAAAGGCCGGCAATGGGCCTAGCTCCACTACTCTCGACGTGCACAAAACACAAAAAATATGGCAAAAGCAGGACTTCCAACTTGCAAGAGCCAAGGATATATGGGTCTGTATTCTCATGGACTCCTTTGTGCGCAGACAACCAGCTTCCCCGCTTCTAACTGCCTGCTGGACAGCATGGAGAGCTTTGAGCTCCTTTAAAAGAAAGGAGCCGTGCACCAGGGATGAGGTTCTGCGACAGCCACTTTTCGACAACTGTTATATTACGGACGAAGAAGCACTGCCCATTCCCGCCACGTCTGCCAGCGGAGCGTTTGGAAGAAGATGGGTCGAGAAGGGAATAGCCACTGTTGGCGATCTGTGGGATGACAACGAGGAGGAATGGATCAGAGACACCGCCCTGAGAGACAGCCTGGGCAAATTGAGATTTGTGGAGCAAAGAAGACAACTGATTATTCAGGCGATCCCGCTTCATTGGAAGACTCTTCTATGCTCCAAGTGTCCCACGCAAGGGCAATGGTATCAAGGAGAAGCCCAGGGACAGCAGACAACTTACCTAAAGATCGAGCAGCATTTGGATGAGGACACCCTCATTGGACAAGAATGGACAGCCCCAGTCAAGGATGTGCTCAGACAGAGGCTTACGTATCAAGCCACAACCAGCTTGAGCTCTGCAGGGCGATGGCAGCTGATCAGAGTACATACGTCGTAATCCAGCTCTGGAATTCAACAGCATGAGATACTTTTAGCTGGGAGACCCCTAGCCGCCCTACGAATCGACCCGCTGATAGGCCACTGGAGGGACGAGGAAGGGAAATCCATACCCCTGTGCTGTTATACCACTAAGCTTGCAAGGAAGTTGCTATCCAACAATCATCCTTCACCTACAGTGGCAGCCAGCAGACTCAATGCTGCAGCCTCCTATGAGCTCAGCATCTCTGAGACAGGAATCAGAGGTCTTTGGTCTCAATTACCAAAGTTACCTTCTCTCAAATTTGCCGCTTTCCTCTGGATGGTGTCACACGCAGTAGTACCAAGTACAGTCTGGCTCTTCGAAAAGGGACTTGATATTGCTACCAAATGCCGGAGATGTGGGGGAAGAGCCGAGGAGACTATTTCGCACTTGATTTGGTCTTGCCCGGCCTCGAGGCGTATTTGGCTGTGGTGGGCCAACCATTGGTACCTCTTCGTTGGTGACGCACTCATCTGGGACGAGGAATGGGCAATTGGGGGAATCATTCCAACGCACTGGTTCAAAGCGACCCACAGAGGGTATGTGGCACAGACGGTGAGGGCAATCATTCTCTGGGTCATTTGGACAGACAGAAACAGCATCCATTTCGAAGGGCAATGGACCTCTGATGAAGGAATCAAAGCCAGGATAAAGGCGTTCATTCGGACGATGATCATAGTTGACTGGACAAAAAAGGCAGCAGCACAAGGGAAATCTCCGCGTGGCTTACGTTGGTTCTTGGTCACTTGGGCCAGAGATAATCAGCTGGCAGCAGTCACTCTCGAGGGAAAGATGGTCCTCTCACACTGGATTCAGTCATAGAAGTTTCTGTACCTCATCCCCTCCCCTCTGTTCATTCCTTACCCCCCCCTATCCCCTCTTTTTTCTAAGCTCGCACCTTCTACCAGGTCACTCGGTTAATTACTGTCGCAGTAGGCCAAAGGGACTAATAGCGACAGAGCCAACTGAAACTCCCGGACCGGAGGTCCAGCCCGGCGTCAGGCCGCTTAGGCCTGTTAAGTTTCGAAGCTAGATGATTCCGGGACTTCTATCTTAAGTTCAGTTAGTAGATAGTAGATCCTAGATAGTTGACTTAGACTACGGTTTGTCTTCTTCCTTTTCTCCTGGGTCCCACTCTCTTCTCCCTCCATCCCCTTTCCCCCCCTCTACCTTCTGTCCAACTCCCTTCTTCTATCCTTTCATCTATCCTGGTATAGAGTAGTCCCCCAGTCTAGTATCTATTTCCCAATAATCTTATAGAGTAGTATTTGCTAGTGTATAGCCAGGTAGGTTAATGTAAATTCAGAAGTTCAATTCTTAAACGTTGATGGATTTCGGTTCCTCTTGGTGCCGTAAAAAGCGAAACTGGGTAATGCTGCCAGGGTTTGACCCGGGTTGAATTGTGGGGACCCCGGCCCCGGCTACCATTTGTTCTTGAATATAAACATGTATTCTTTTCAAAAAAAAAATAAAAAATAAATAAAAATGGCAATGTATCTTTCTATGTTCTAGGGGGGGATTCTGTCTCATTTTGCACATTTCCAGAATACTGGAGCGCGGCCCAATATTCCTAGATCTTCAATATTCCTACATCGTAGATCCCAACGGAAGTGCCAGCGGAGCTGATCCGCGATACGCTAATTGGCATTTTCCTGCGATGCGCGGAGGACTCCCTACAATTGGAGTGACAGGGAGAGCGCCGATTCTCGTAGTTCCCAAGGCGCCAACCATCTCCCGCGCGGTATGTATTTACTGCGTTTCCCCCTGTGGCATACCAGGGGGCAGGGAGATTCCGGTCAAGGCTGATGGGGACTAGGGCATAGCAGCTGTAGTTACATGGACATCGGCACTGTCGAAGCTGTGGGAGAGCTACGAGTAGTGGTGGGAGCGATGCCACTGGAAGTATGCCTGCGAAGTGCTAGTTCTTATCATCAGCCAGTGCATAGCAGCTGTGGTTTTGCGGACATCGGCACGCTCGAAGCTGTGGGAGAGCTACGGGCAGTGGTGGGAGCGATGTCTCCGGAAGTATGCCTGCTAAGTACAAAGTTCGTATCTAATCTCTTCAGAACTTCCAGATGTCGACTTCGACACTAAGCACGCGGTCTATTAATTCGTACTTCGACTTCTGTGGAAGGGTGCTTCATTCTCTTGGTTTGTTCATCATTCCTTGTATATCTTGAGGAGCCTGGAATAGCTATCTAGGAACTTACCACTGTGGTTGGATTGCTCTCGGCACTAAGCACGTGTTCTATCAATTCGTACTTCGTCTTCTGTGGAGGGGTGTTTAATTCCCTTGGCTTGTTTATCATTCCTTGTACATCTTGAGGAGCCTTGGGTAGCTATATAAGAACAAATCATTGTGGTTGGATCGTTTTAGTGTGTTGTATTTGATATTGTTGGAATGACAATGTACCTAAGCACGATGGTAGGGTAGATTCACTCATTTTGTGAATTACCTCACGTGATTTCGTAAATTTGTCTAAGGATTAGCAAGTTAGTAGTATGATTTTGGGTTCCTTTGCTCGATCTGCAACTTTTGCTAGGAGTGCTTCAATCTAGTTTGCATCGCATGTCTGGAGGAGTAGCAGCTGCATGAGAAACTGTCACGATTCACTTTGGCTCTTCGTTTTTTTTTTCAAGACTACCTCTGAGTCACACGATGGTTCATTATTGGCTTTGCGCGGATTACTGTGCGCATGAGAAACTGTCACGAGTAACTTTGGCTCCTCGCCTTTTTCAGGACTACCTCTGAGCCACAGAATGGTTCATTATTGGCTTTACGCAGATTACTGTGGGATAGGACGTCGAACCTAAATTCTGCTCATCATAGACCACTTCTTGAGAGATACCGGCTGGAAGGAGGCGGTGTCTGAACCGTATTGTGTACCTCGCATCCCACACATGGTCTTCCCCCTGGGGAAGACATGCACGAAGGTTAAAAACCCCGCGCGTTGTGTAAGGGGAATAATTGGCTGTGTGATGCTTTATTACTTGTTAATTTGTGTTTGGAAGCTGGTTGTTATTTGGTAATTGCTTTATCTTCCATATTTTTATGCTATGCACCTTAGCTAGCTGTCTTTGGTTTATTAGCAGAGCTAGGGGGTGAAGTCAACCCTTTGGGTGGTAGAGTGTTTTAGTGTGCCTATTAGCACATGTCCATTTGCCACTGAGGTCAGAGAGGAATTACTCCCACACATTTTCTTAGTTTCTGTTGGTCTGTATTCGCACAGCTGTTTACGAGGATTTGCTCTGGCTGAAGGGTTTGCCTAGTTATATCTCTATTAGTTCGGCCACCGTTTACTGAGCTTCAAGTCAGTTTTTGAGAAGTTTTATTTCTGTTGAGATTAGAGGGTTCCTGGGACGCTGGACCCGGTTTCCAGCAAGGTTCTTCAGACTCCGGGTTGAATTGTGAGGTCCCCGGCCCCTGCCACTCCTTTTTTAATATAAATTGACTACTTCTCAAAAAAAACAAAACAAAAAAAAAAAGTGCCAGCGGATACTATGCGCGGGAAGGAGCTCTGATGTGCACCCCATGGCACACAGAAAACGAAATCAAAACGAGTGCAGCGAAGGCGGGAACGGCCAGCGGATACTACTCGCGGGAAGGAGCTCTGATGTGCACCCCATGGCACAGAAAACGAAATCAAAACGAGTGCAGCGAAGGCGGGAACGGCAATCAAGACGCCTCCTAGGCAGTACTTCTCTGGCACTTTGCTAGATGTATCTGGTTGCAATTGCGGCCCGACGTGATCAACTTCAGAATTAATCAGCTCCAGAAATAAGCCGAAAAAGTCCTAGGCGGGAAGTCCCTTCACCTAAATTGTGTGTGAAAGGGAAATACACGCGAGTCCCAGTTCCCACCATGTGACACTCCTCAGCCATGATCACGGAAAGATTCGGACCCTCCATCGGGCAGGGGCTCTTACACCTGGTCTGATCTCTTTTTTTGTTTTTTTGGCGGCAGGCAGTTCCGAATTGCAGGTTTTGCAGAGGCGGGCCGTAGCGAAGAAGATGGCTGATGTGACGAAGGAATAAAAGAGATCCTAGACGACTCCCAGATCAAGCGCGCTCACAACCGTACGGGGCGATTGTCTTCTCTCGGCGCAAGGTACGTGGTGAGCAGTGGCTCCGTGTACTCGCTTCAGCACTAGGCACTCATTTTGCGTTCCGTCTTTTCATAACGCCCTTTTCCTATTTCCGGTCTACGAACTTCATAGCCGCATCTACCTTCTTCCTTCCATCTCTTTCCGGCTATCTCCTACTTCTGGTTGTCTTCTTGCTTGTCTGCCTCGCCTTCCCGTGGTCGTGCAGAATCTGTTCAACAGAAGCTCACTCATTTTTCGTTTCCCCCTTTCGCTGCGTCATTTTCTATTTCCGGTCATCGCACTTCGTAGCCACATCTACCCTCCTTCCTATTCTCTCCGATCTCTTCCCGGCTTTCTCCTGCTTCTGGTTTTCTTCTTGCTTGCCTGCCCTGCCTTCCCGTGGCATGGACTAAATTACCCCATTCGATCTTTTTGGCATCTTCTTCTCTGCTTACGCTGTCTCTTTACGCGAAATCTGCAAATAGAAGTACCAAGGATAGACGTGATGCCGATAGAAAAGAGTAGGCAGAAGCGAGTGGGCAAATAATCCAGTGGAGAAGGGGTCGCACTCTGTTTACTTCGAGTGGAGAAGGGGTTTCTCTCTCTCTCTCTCTCTCTCTCTCTCTCTCTCTCTCTCTCTCTCTCTCTCTCTCTCTCTCTCTCTCTCTCTCTCTCTCTCTCTC